TCCATCTCCCTCAGTGAACCCATCTCCTTCACTGCCTCCCTCCTCCACTGCCTCCCTCCTCCATCTCCCTCAGTGAACCCATCTCGTTCACTGCCTCCCTCCTCCATCTCCCTCAGTGAACCCATCTCCTTCACTGCCTCCCTCCTCCATCTCCCTCAGTGAACCCATCTCCTTCACTGCCTCCCTCCTCCCTCTCCCTCAATGCCCCCCCTCCTCCATCTCCTTCAGTGCCCCCCATCTCCCTCAATGCCCCCTGTCCATCTGTCTCTCTTCCCCCACACCCCCATCCCCCACACCCGCAGTCCAGGCTCTGCGCATGCTCGCTGGCTGCCAGCCCCGCTCGCGGTCTTACCGGCCGTTTCTCTTTGTTCCATTAAACAGCGCGAGCGGCGCCTCCAGTCCAGGTAAAAGCCTCTCGGCTTCTCATCTCTCCAGGACCGGGAGGTTGTGGGCGGGCAACCGGGGCTGGGCAGCGGGGAGGGACGGGCGGATGAACAAGGTCCGCTACCGGTTTGCTGTTGAATGAGGGGCGGCGCGGCTCGGTTGCCCCGGCGCCGCTTTTATTGTTTAAAAGACGAGATTGAGCTGCAGGCCCCGCCGCCCGAGATGGTGGCGCATTCGGACTAAAATTAATTAGTTTATATTGCGATTAATTCAAAATATATTGTTTAGCCACATCTGAACAGGGGAGGGAACTGCCTGGCTTTATTGCGCTGTTCGGATCAGCTGTATTATTCTGTACATGTGTGTGTTTCTCACATTAGGGCTTTCTGCGTGGGTAGCTGCTGAAGGAACAAAGCATCAATCTCTGTTTCTGCAAAGACATGTTATTTGTTAATTCAAAAGAAAACTTTGTATTGCTGCATAGGCGATACTTTTAAATATCTCTTGTAGTGTTTTAGGATACATCCATGGTATGTTTTAAGTTGAAATAATGCCGTATCAATATGACCCCGTTTGAATGTTTTCCCTTCCCCTTTTTGTTATCTCAATAAATCGAAAAATATAGTCGTTTACAAGTTTTTGTTATGATTGTAGAGTTATCTGTTGTGAATTGATGCTGTACCCTATTAAATATTGTTGTTTATAGATTTTCCGTTTCTTTTAAGTATTTTGCATATGTGAGCCTCGAAATCAGGGTCTGTTGTTCATGATGTGGTTTCAGTGATGACCTCGTTTATTATTTAAAATGCAACGTGGATGTTCAGAGCTAATTTCAAAGACTGGAGCTGCAGTATAGTCAGTTTATTTTTTTATTTCTTATTTTTCCCTGACCCTGATAGCGTGAACCCAGCTAAGTAGATAAGTGTTTGAAGTTCTTAAAGACGAAAGTACAATGCTTTGAACAATGCAGTGTTGCCTCCTGCCTGGAAAGTTCTGTTCCAGACTAAGCCCTCTTCCCACATACTTCTATTAACCAACTATGGTTCACAGAAAGGGAGAATTAAAAGCAGCTCTGTTATAAGCTAACTTTGCTTCCTGTTGGGTGCAAAGGATGGCATTGATGGATGCAGCAGTTCACAGTTCAGCTCATACAGCTCTCCTGTGGAGGCTATGAAAAACTTGAGAAAGTTTATTTTTATTTAAAATTTCATTTTCCTCTCAAAGATTTTGTGGGGGTTCAAGGAACTGCAGCCATCTCTTTCCCTGGCAACATGGACAAACTATTTGATTGTGGTAGGCTTTGCAACAGAGCCAATCTGTTCTCTTCACAAGCTAAGAATTAATAAATGGAAAGACTGGACAATTCAGCATGTCAGGCAGTATCTGGAGAGAGAGAGATATGCAGATGTTTCATCAATTAACATACAAGAATTTGGAAATTTATATAGTTTCTAAAAGTTGGTGAATGAGAACGGAGGAGTGATAGGGTTGAACAAAAGGCAAAAGCAAAGTGATTGTGATTATGAGTGGGAATCGTGACCATCTATCTACCTGTTGGTCTAACACAATAGAAGTAATGATCTTTCTCTTTGGTGTTACACATGTGGAAGATTTATCTACGATTGAATCCCTCCAGATACAGATTTTCAAAAATGTAGTGAACTTTACATAGGAAGGACAGCCCCTGCAGCGATACGGTGTCCTTGAGTTGCTATTCTGGTGAGCTGGTAAGAGGCATAAGCTTAAAGCACGAAAGCAGCATTTTTAAAAAGCACTGCTGGCTGACCTCAGCCAGTCAGTTGTTCTGACAGAAAAGTGCAGGCTGTGTTTCAAAACATGATCAATTCTGCAGCTGATAAATGAAAGGTGGAAGTACTTGTCTCCAAACTATATCATTCTTTGAGCAGAAGGCTGAGTTAGGGCAGCTCTTCTGTGTGGTAGAGTAAGCACTTGCTTCAAAGTGGAGAGGTCATTCAGGGCAAGCTTCAGAGCTGCTTGACATTCAGATCTGCCAACTTCATTTGGTCTGAACTTTATCTTGTAAATTGGACTGTTTAATTGGAGGGATGACTCAATGAGAGATGGGAGAAAACACTTTGTTTTGTTTTAATTTAGTTATAAGAGTACATTGTGGATATGTTTTCTCCTTAAGATTGCTATTACTCTTTTCCAACTCACCAAGTTCCTTTGCAGAACCAGCTAGAGTATATCCTTCAGCAGGAATTGCCAGGCTGAGCTCAGATGCAACTTGTTCTGACGCTCCCTACTTGCGACTGTGTAAAGATGCACTGAGCATTTCTCAGCTATTCCTAAGCAATGGTAGCTCTTGGGATTGGCAGCTGTGTGGACTGTAATTCAAGCCTGCATTGTGCATTCGCATCCTTATTGACTAGTGTCATCAAGGCACTAACATTTTGATGGATTACTGGGAAGTTCGTTGAAGTCGCTATTTCCTAGATGGCTTTGCCCCTCTAGCCCATAAGATGAAATTTGTGATGTGGTTAGCCTTGCCCAATAGGACAAAGAATGAGCTGTGGAGAAAACTCTATTAGAGCACAGTA